TAACTTGTTTACGCACCCTTGTTGTTTGGGACATCTTGATGAATTTGCCGTATTTCCTTATATGCACTTACTAACATGATTTTGCTTTATTTTTGGTTAAATATGTCAAAACTTATAGCTTTTATTTGGGGTATGTAATAAGTATTTAAATGTACCCTTTGAGACCTATTTGATATGTATGTGATGAGGCCAAGGGCTAATGACCTAATACTTTACTTTCATGCTATTTGACATTATGCTTAAATATGAGAAAAATTAAAAAATGCGAAGCTTTAGCGTGTCAATTTCAGTTTGAATGGTGGGAATTGCGTTTTATCACTTTTCCTAGTGCTCTTTTATTATATGTGATGTGTGGCCAAGGGCCAAATGGTTCTTTGAATGCATCTATGATGATTGACTTCAAAATTTGCTTTAAAATGCCATTTTTCATTTTTTTGGGGTTTGGATATGTCATATTTTGTATTGGGAGTATTTTAAGGTCATAGACCATTGAAACGCGTTTCATTATGTATATTATGTTTATGAGAATGTTCACTTTGCACAAAATATCACAGTTGCATGATATGGCTGATGGTAGGTTTCAAACTTTCCATTTTAAAGCATTTTTGAGGTTTAATAGGTCAAATTTTGCATCGGGCATATTTGAGGGTCACAGACCATTCCCGCACATTTTTAAACATTTGTTACTCTTGCGTGTACAATTGTTTTAGCACACAACTTCATATTTGATCATTTGAACACTTGAAGCAAACTTGCATTTTAGTATTTTTTGTCAAAACTGATCTCAGGGGTATTTTGGGCATTTCAGGTCAAAAATAAAATTTTCTTTCAATATGGTCAGCTTGGAAAAATCATTTTAAGAGGGGTTTCTTTTTCGTATTTTTCCAAAAAAGGTCGTTTCGGGGTCCAAAAAGCATACTGTTTTCAGCATTTTTTAGTTTTTGCCCAAGTGTGCACCAGCAGTGCCCGCACGCACAGCAGTGCGTGCGCGCGGTGCACAGGGCAACATGCGCAGATGGGGCTTGGCCCTGGTGCCCTTTGGCCGCGGCAATCACCATTTTTGTTTTTGGTTGTTCTCTTCCATCCGAACTCCGAATCAAGTGATTTTTTAGTCTAACTTCATTAATTTTTTGCTGTCTATCCAATGGTGCTCCCGGTAACACCCATAACTTTCTAAAACTTATGATTTTTTCCCTAGGGCTAAACTTGTCCATTTTTAAAATGTCGCTTCTGCATTTTGTTTTATTTTAAGTTCCGTGACTTCATAGGAAGTCATGTTTGTGTCTTAGGGATGACGTACATCCATCTAGAGTTTGTTTGCATGTGAAATGACCATTTTGCCCTTGGTGGCATACTTGGCCTATTTTTCACTGTTTAGCTTTCGCATTTGTTTTCTTTTGGTTCTGTGACTTTATGGGAAGCCATGTTTATGTCTTAGGGATACCGAATATCCCCATAGACCTTTTTGTTTTTTTTTTCGCTTCCGCATTCTGGATCCGTTATCGGGTCAACTTTCTAATCATATTGACATATTCGGGTTTGTGAAAATTTGGAACGTTACAGTGTTGGGAGCCATTCTCGAACACTTGACCTTGTCTCGGGTCCACACAAGCCAAAGACGAAAAAGAAAAAAGATAAAATAATAATAACAATAAATAATAATAATAAAAAAAATAACTCGAAAACAAAGAAGATATGGCACGTTCATCACAGAATCTTTGCATCTATTAGAAATATAAATATTAGTGACAAGCGTGTATTATCGGATATTGTCATTGTGAATATACGCCGTACAAAAATAATGAAAAACTTGCAAAGACTAAACTAAAAATGGTATAGAATAAGCAGGGTCGAATCATACAAGATTTAAATTCGTGAATCAAAATCAAAACCAAAATTTAAGGAAGAATAGCTTTTAAAACAATTTGATGATTTTTTGAATAATAAAAATAAAATAAAACAAATAAAAATAAGATTAAATAATAATTTTCTTTTCAAATAATGGAAAATGTACCTCAAAGGAAATAATCCACCACCACAGCTTATTATAAATAAATTTGTATATTTCTTTTTATAATTTTTTTTTTCCTCAAGTAAATCACTTCACAAGTCCAATTACAACTTGGAAAGATTAATGAAAATATGACATTATATAACAGTTGCTTATATGAGGAACACTTTTTTATTTAATATGTTTTAGCTTTGCTAAAAAAAAACTGCAAATAGAAGTAGGCATTTTTCGTATTACCATTACTTGGCAAACACGAAAAATCCTTCCTCTATATTTTTCACATAAAAAATATTAGAATAGAAGAATAAAAGTAATGCTCTCAAGAGAAAATTTCATAAAAGAAATAAACTAAATTTACTTATATTTCAGCCATGGTTGCTTCATCACTCCCTTGAGAAGGGGTTGCTTCATCACTCCCTTGAGAAAGGGTTCTTAAGCTAGCATACTTACAAGAAAATAAAACATAAAATTAAAAATGCACAAAAGAAATTCAAGATAAAAATTCTAAAATGTTATTATTTTCTCTCACTAACAATGTATTTCAAACCTTCTCTACATACGTCCCAATTTATAGAATTTAGAATAGAACGATTAGGAAGGGAAAATTCTAATTACAGAAGTGAAAATAAAATAAAATAAAATCTTGCTTCTTTCCAATCTAGAATTATATGCTTTCCAATTTGGCTTGATATCTTTTCTAATTTGATGGAAAAAAACAATTTTGAATTTGACTTTGTCTGATCGTATAATCCCACATTTCCACTATTTTTGTCTCTTTTCTTCTTATGCCGAAATCAGCCCCTATAAAACATAAAAAACAGGAATAAGAACATTTATCTAATAAAAAATATTAATTAATCATTTATTATTAAGTATAAAATAACAATTTTTGTGCAGTTATCAATTAGCACTTAAGTCAACTCATCATGTATTAGAAGGAATTTCAATAAGTGATTTGAAATATACAAAAGTCAATGGCTTATTCTTCTTTTTGAATAATTTTTTTAAAATTTTGTGAAATCTTTCTAAAAGTGTCCAATACATGAATGACACTTTTAAATTCTTCCATTCCTCTCTTTTTAGTTGTTTGACAAAAGTCTTTTATTTTGGGTGTTGCTCACTTAATAACTTTTTTCACGCTTCTTCCCAAATTTCTTTATACCTTATTGAGTCATGAGATAAATATAATGATTACCTTATTGCTTAAACTTTGCCTCATCATAAATTAACATAATTGTCAATTCATTCGCATTCCACTTATCTGATAGTGTTAAATGGCCCGTACTGAATAGGCAAGAAATTAAAAATAAATTGAACAAGAAAGGTCTCATTCATAATCATCTCTCAATTTTGCAGCAAGATTAATCATATCATGAACATGCTCATACATGGTAGGAGTACCATAAAAAATGCTAAGTACTGATATTAGTCAATAATTTTCCTATTAAATATTTATCTACGATATGAAAATATTCTTATATTAAAACATTCCTCAACTCTATCAATTTGAGGAACATTCTTATATTCAAATACTCACACTTCTTTTGCAATGATGTTATCATACCATTGGTATCATTAACCAATTATATTTATTTAATGCATTTATTTCAATTAGTCCTGTTATTACGTGTCAATAATTACTCAGTCATACCATATCATTGATATGGTGGAGCTGTAAAGTTTTTTTTTTTTTTTTTTTGAGTTACAAATGAATGAACGTTTTGAAGATGAGATGGGCCAAATGCTGCCTAATCCCATTTCCAAAAGATTCTTTCCTTACCTTTTCAAATAATTATTCCACTAATCCAAGATAAGATAAAAGTGTTTATAGAACACTTTTAGTCACTAACTTTGTGATGGCCACAATCTCCAAGGGAACAAAATCTTTTGACTAGATGAACTTGTTTGTCTTCTCTTAAAAGTGGTCAAAATTGAGTGTAAAGTTTAGAACTTTGGATTGTTTTTCAGCATCCTTTATGCAGCATTAATCCAGATGGTTGGTTTTAGTGGTCACTAATTGAATCAACTACCATTATTAATAAGATGATGTGTAGGTGGGCAATGTATATTGCAGCACTCTTAATGGGTAACAGAACTTCATGGTACCAAAGTATAAAGAATCCCAATGATGGTATTTGATTAATCAACAAAATCATTATGCATAACCACTAATCAATGATTTAGATGGGGAATTGACATCATTGGACTTTAATCTGTCCAAAGTTCGAGCACACATACACACACACACACACACCAACTTCATTTCATCAGTGAAGCGTCTGGCTGATGAAAGTCTATTTTTCCACATGTCACTCTCTTTCATTATATTCCTAATCATAGTGGATAATGATACAGTTTGAACTTAAACAGGAGGCTCCTGCTTAATTTCATCAAAAAAGAAAAAAATTTATATATGCGTCACCTTTTCTTTATAAAAACTTAATATAAGAGTGGTGGGACTACCAGTTTAGTGACTGATTTAGCCTAGCGGATTCGTTCTTGATAATATTACTCAAAATTAATGGCCAGATTTTGAATTTGGATTCTAACATTTGACAACTAGAATTTACGTCACAAATTTAATTAATTTTTTAGTTAGCTTGCCAAACACCGAAAAAAATACCGAAAAATAAAAATAAAAAATATATATTTTACCTAAAAAAATAAATATTACCCAAAGAGCCTAAAATACACAAACTGCTGCAAGTCAATGCTAAATTGCTACTAGTCAATGCTAAGCAAGCCCAACAATTCAACCGAAGTGAGGGCCAAGAGCAACCTATGAAATGGAGTTTGTAAACCATTTTTCATTGCTAATTCTTAAATTAGGGTGACAAAACACGACACAAAATAAAAGATAAAGTTGAGCAGAATTCACTGTTTTAGTGCAGAACGCACAAATCCTACCTCCGGGGATCTGGGTCCCTCAGCACAGGATAATACCTGATCAAGTTGAGGTTTAAATACACCCTCCGCTAAGGATGATGTTGGCACTTTCTCTTATAGAAGAATATAAAGGCAGGTAGGCTGAGACTCAGATAAAGGCATTGTTGATCTTCAAAAACAAAGTAACAAACAACATATGGAGAGAAGAAAGTGGTCCTTGATAGTCATATGTTATCTGATGATGAGGCTCAGGCTCAGGCTCAGGTTTGTCTTCTTGTTTTTATATACTATAACTATTACTACTATTACTAGTGAAAATGGTGTTTGCAATGCCATAGAGTCACCACAATACAAGGTGGTACACTCGGAATCGGATGTAGAGATCAGACTCTATCCCCAATCTTTCTGGCTATCTGCTCTCGTCCCAGCAGCCACTTCCTTCCAGAATTCCACCCAAGATGGCTTTCACAGGTTCCACCCCCATTTTTCTCTCCCTTAGATTTTACTTGCCCACTGTTTGGTTCCTGAAAATAAAAAATAAAAATAATAAAAATAATAAATAATAAAAAAAAAGGATGAAAATACTAATGACATTATGAAAGCAAAACTAATTACACCCTCACTCCCAAAAATAATTAGTGTTGTGCTCTCATTTTTATGATGTTCCAAAAAATAACTGCGTTTTTTTATTTTTGAATGTTTCAAATTGCAACTTTCACGGATCATCTTTAGGTTTTGAAAATCTATTTATATCAATAAAATAAATGTTAATTTTTTAAAAAAAAATTAAGTTTTGTAATTTTCAACTTAGGATTATGCATTAATATCCCTTGAAACATATACAGTTGACAATCGAAATATGATAAAATGAGGAGTACTAAGAAGATCAATATTGGGTGAGCCACGTATACCACATCATTGATATTGCCCAATCAATCAATGATGCACTATATAAATGACTTAATATGTTTGGCTCACCCAATGAATACTTGTACACCAGGGCTAGCTGTGCTAAAATAGAATGGCCCCTTGATCTTTGCAACTTGTTCTTTTAGTAATGGCAGAGACTTTCTTAGTGACTTGAGTGTCATGACGCCCATAAGAATGGTTTGACAAATGCATCCTAGCGGCCATGACATTATAACTATGATTGATGAGGGAAGAAAATTCCCCCATCTGAACAATACATTCTGTTCCGTCCAATTTGGAATATATTTTACAAAAAAGGTTAAAATATTTGTTAAACATCACAACTCTTTTGTAAGGTGCATCTTGAACTGGACATAACAACAGGTCATACTCTTCCACTTGAGAGAATTCGGGTGAATACGTAAAAACAAGATAAACTTGATATAAAGTGAAGGCAGTATGAATCCTTTCTCAGCATCTCTAAGGTTTTTTGTATTGAGAGTATGTGTTTAATTATTTGTCTTGAATTAATCATACAAAAAAGGAAAATTATGGAGGACTTGCCTATAGAAAATTAGATACCAAGTTGCAACACTATACTTTTGTGGAGTTGATTATACACCATGCCTTGTAGGATTAGAATAAGTGATTATAATAAGATTGTGCTTAGCCAGTTTTAAAGATCAGCTCATATCAATCATATCAAACAAGATTTATACAGAATTTTTGGACTCCCTACATGTTGATGGACACTATGTTGGCAGTAAGGAACAACTTGTTCAATAATTAATAGATTGATGAGTAACAAGACTAAGAATAATAAACAAAACAAGAGTAAATAAGCAAAAAAAAATAGGAATATCCAGTAGGTGAAAAATCAAGAGAGCTAAACCATTAACTAGTCCACTTTTATCTCAGTGACTTTGGGTCTTAACTCTGAAGCCCTAGGTCAAGGTTTCAAGACTGATGGAGAGAGAAGCAAGAAAAATGTTGGCTGACGAATAGCATTAGGGTGGTTGAAGGTTCTTAAAATAGTGTGGTATATGGCAGAATATTATCAGTGATAATTGTTAGTTAAGCTTCATTCAAACTTTCTCTACGCAAGATATATATTGAAAATTTATACGTCTCATTGCAAATACTTAATTTATTTTTTGTCACACATTATTCTACATATGGTACTATATCTTGTTTTGCTCACCACAGGGTATATCAATACATTCATGGTGCCAATCTCAACTCTTCAGAACTTGCCATCACCTCTCCTGTCTTAACAAGCATCAACCAATCAGCAGCACACGAATCCGACTATTCTGTTAGGTTTTACCTGTCTGCGAAATATAAGGGGGCTCCTCCACTGCCCAATCCTGAGCTGGATTTGCTTATTGACAAATGGAGAAGTCATTGTGTAGCAGTTAGGAAGTTCTCTGGTTTTGCCAAGGATGATAACATCAACAAAGAAATGAAAGCTCTCGTGGTTAGCTTAGGTAAAATCTTGACTGAGAGGGCTGCAAGTATCGAAGACAAGAATTCCTACACCATTGCCCAGTACAATGCTTCGTTTCATCTTTCCGGGCGTTTAAATGAAGTGTGGATAAATGTCTCAGGTTTCACAGCAGATGGATGTCCATCCTATTGAAGTAATAAGGATATTGAAGATGTGGTTGTGCAAATGAGAAAGTATATATCTTAATAAATCTATGTTCCTCTCATTAATTTTTTCCATTTGCAAAAATATGGGAATGTTCTTGGTGTTACTATCATAACCTGAACTTCACCATCTTTAATACCTTTTTTTCCTTATTCCCTACTCTAGCTATCTGTCTAGCTTTTGTTTCCCTCATTTAGACAACAAAGAAACAACATCATATTTGGACGACATAGATCTTCCCATCCTTGACCACGTACACCTTAGATGTCTTGAGGAGTTCCATACATCTTTTCAATTGCATTTCCTGCACGAGCGATGCTGGAGAGGATCAATTTCTGGAAGTTCCTGTCAATGATAAATGGATGCACTAAGTAATCAAGCACAAGCTCTCTCTTCTTTATCCATCAGCACCCTGCAGAAGAAGGATTCATTTATATCAGAAAATTATTATCCATATTTTCATGATATATATATATATATATATATATATATATATATATATATATACATAACAGTAGATGCTTGAGAGGCTTCTGCGTAAAGCTTTTCTTTTCGCTTTGTTTGGGAGGAATGGTGGAAGTGTGATTACATTCAGTATGTGTAAAAAGACCTGTAATTTGTATTTTTTTTTATACCTTGGGGATTGCTGATTAAATTTTAAGTAATTTTACAATTCTGTTTGTCATAAATTAACAATCATTGTGGTTCGACAACCTCCTACTATAACATTAATATGCAATGATGAATGTGCTATTATTATAAGTGGTATTTTTAAATAGTACACATTTGTGGTCACCATTATGTTAGGATATGTGTGCCCTAGCATAGCAAATTCTAATTTTGGATTATAAAAGTCATGGTTTCTTATTTGGATATTATTATTAAAGCATTATACAATTGGTGAATGGAATGTATTATTTTTCGATTCTTTATGGAATTGATGGTGTCTGCTTGATTACAAAATATATTTATATATGTATGTAATGGCAATTAATACTATGATATAAATTAGTAATCATAAATGGTTTAAAGTCGGTAATTATGGATGGACATTTAATTAGTTAAGACTTAAACCGAGTCCACGATAGATTAAGATATATTGCGAGAGCTGTCGTATGCAATTGCTCTCTATCACAGTCATGGCTTTTGACTCTCAAGTATGAGAGAAGTATAAACTCTTTTATTAATTAATAATTACTTTGATTTGTTCGGCGGATACCTCGGGATCCTTAGATCGACACTTTGGGTAGTTATGTAATTAATAATTAGAGGTCTATATTCTCAATATTTGCATCAGTTCTATTTGTATTTATTTTCTTTTGATTATGGTTGATCACAAATTAAATTCGAAGGCCTTCGTATGTTTTAGACAAATGTTTTCTATATATATTTATTTAATAAATTATTATTATTTTTTGTCAAATAAATATTTTATTGTGATCGAGCTGGAAATAATCAAAGGTAACAAAATAATTATATTAATTATGTTGTCGGATTGATGGCTTTAATTATCCGATAAATAATTAAGCATAGTGGGGTCAAAGTGCAACATTGACTTAGAGGTTATTTACTATTTAATTGGAGTGCAATTAATTTTTTTTAGTGGAGTAGAAATTAATTTATGAATTAATTGAATTGGGTCCATGGTTTAATGGACCGGACCAATTATTAATTTATAGGAGCCAAGAAAATAGTAAGCCCAAAAGGATTCTCACCAATAGCCCAAGTTGATATTGGAATCGTGTTAGGATTGAGAAAGTTGAATTAGAGATAGAGAATGATTTATTGTTTCCTTATTCTTATTTTTATTTTGCCTATATATACATGAGTTCATGTATATTTTAGGGGTGACTTGGAGAACAAGAAAAAGGAACACACTTTCTCTCTCTAGATTTTAGGGTTTTGTTTTCTCTTCTAAAGGAGGCTACCACCAGCCTAGATTCCAAGGTCATTCATCAAGGCATATTGGTGATTCTTAAAGGGAAGATAATAATCGAACGGAAGGAGAAAGGATCTTGCTAAAGGGATCTACAATAAGTGAGAACATTCACTTTAGAGGAAAGTTCAAAAGGTTTACTCAGATCTTTGATGTAAGTATTCAATCTGTTTATTGAATTATGCATCATCTTTTATTTATCTTTGCATAAAACTTGTCTCTGTGTGATGAATCAAGATCCGTAATTGCAAATCCCTCAAAAGTTTTAAAAACTTGCCCGTTTCCCAACAGTGGTATCAGAGCACATGGTTTGATTCATTACTAGAGAACATGTGTTTATAAAAATCATATTCATGGATCCAAATCGTATATACATATATAAAATTATTGATATATGTTGATGTATGATTTATTATGTTGATATATATTAATACATGATGATGTATGTATAATTGTGAATGGATGATGATGTGTGTTTGGGCCATGGATGAAGCTTATAGGTATATAGAATGTAATTTTATTTTTGGATGAATGTAATTAAGACTTTGTTTTAGCTGTTTGAAAATTCAATGATGTAATTTAATTTTTTTCATTGTATTTCAAATTGTAAGTATTTATTAAAGCTATGTAATATTCATCAAAGGATGCTATGAAGCTTCAAGAGGGTCCAAAAGGGTTAAATTATGCTTCAGTAATTTTCTGGAATTTTTTCGAATTTTTTGAGAATTTTTTAAGGCTTAATTTAATTTTCTGGGATTTTTCCGGATTTTTTGGAATTTTTTCGGCGTTTTTCCGGTGGCCGGAGCTTCGCCGGCGGCGAGAAGGGGCGTCGGAGGTGGCCCGGATCAGGTGTGGCATCAATATAGTGAGCCTGGCGCGGGTTCCACACGTGCCAGGACAATGCACATGCTGGTGTGTGCATTGCACGCGCCAGCCAAGGCAGCTTGCCCTCCACGCGCGTGGAGGCGCGTCCCACTCGCCCCAGGCGCGTGGGAGCGCGTCCCACGCGCCCCAAGCGCGTGCCGGCGCGTGGGGGCGTGCGGGTGCACGTGCCGAGTCTTGCAGCCTGCCCTAGGCGCATGCCTGTGCGTGTGGGGTCCTCTGGGCTCGTTCCAAGCAGCGATTTGCTTCTCCTGACGCGTACAAGCTTCCTGTGGGTGTTTACAGACAGTTAAAGGACGCCCGTACAACAAGAATAGTTTTTAATTGTTAAATGCTGAATTTATTGGCCATTTATATTGCTTCTGTCTATTATTTGATGTATGGAATAATTTAATAGTTGTTATAATTGTTCATGCATTGAATCCATGATTTTTAACTAAATGGCTTGATTTATATTAATTAAATTATGAAGATAAATTGGATTAGATTGCTAATTAATTTGAGAGCATTTATTGGGGAACAGAAAAATTATTTTTGTAAATTATTTTTTGCCTCAAATTAAAGATTAGTGAATCATTTAAAATCCATATATTTTCTAAATTTAATTGGATTAAAATCAAGGCGTTTTGCATGCATTAAATCATGAATTGAAAACCCTAGTTTTATATTATTAAAAATTGAGTGGGAGCGGGGATTTTTTATGCATTACCCCATGGCCTTCGTAATTATAACCATTATGATTAAATCTTTAAAAATAAGGCTCCACGCATGATTTAAAGAGTCTAGATTACAAGAATGGTTGTCTCACGAAAATATATTTATTAAATAACCATTATAGTTAGATCTTTAAAAATAAGGCCCTACGCATGATTTAAAGAGTCTAAGCTATTAATGGCAATATATTTAATATTTGTTTTTCTGTTGGAGCATTAATTATGTTATACACTCAATCTAAAATCAATAGTATTAACTCCCCAACGGAGTGGTCTATATTAGGTGATTTTAGAAAGGCTAAATCTAATCGGGAATTATTTCATATATAGATAAGGCATTGTCTAAAGAGATATGGAAATAATGAGTTGTTCTCGTCAATAAGCAATAATGAATTCCGCCAACCGGATAAGTTATTGGCATATTGATTGTCCGATTTTTCATGCAATGTGGTTAAGGGACCGACAATTAATTAATTATTTCTTACTTGCATGATTATTATTATTCACTTTATTTATTGTATGAATGCTTTTATTTTCAGATTTATCATGACTAGTCCATTCAGTCCACTTGCAAACATACTAAAAGAAAATCGATTAACTGGACCTAATTATATCGATTGGAAAAGGCAACTAGATATTGTACTAACATATGAGGGGTTGAATTATGTGCTTACTACTCCTAGACCTTCTCCACCTTTGCCTGAGGATCCTCCTGAGGAGCATGAAGTATTTAAGAAATGGAATAAAGCAGATGAGATGACTAGGTGCTACATTCTTGCTTCACTCTCGAATGTACTCCAAAGTCAACATCTTCAATATCTCACTTCTGCAGACATCATGCTTAACCTTAAAGAAATGTTTGGGCAAATTGGTAAGAGCGCACGCCAAAATGTTATGACAAATTTGATGACCATTAAGATGGTCCAAGATACTTCAGTTCGGGAACATGCTTTAAAAATGATTGGTTTTTTTAAATGAACTGGAGATCCTTGGATGCAACTTGGATGGTGAACTTCAAGTTGACATGATTATCGCTTCATTGCCAGACTCATTTAACTCTTTTAGGGTTAATTATTATATGAATAAGCTTGAGTACACACTCGCTGAACTATTGAATGAGTTGGTAACCTTTGAAGGGATAAACAAAAGCAAGGGTGCATCTATCAACTACACTCAGTCTGCTGGACTATCCACTTCTAGGCCCAAGAGGAGGGGCAAGAAAAAAAAGAAGGATGGTGCCAAACTGTGGTTGTGCCAAACAAAGTAATCCAAAAGGATAAGGGAAAGAAGAAAGTGCGGGTTGAAGGCGAAGGAAACTGCTTCCATTGCGGTCAACCGGGTCACTGGAAACCTAACTGCCCAATACTTCGCACACAAGGCAAAGGAAAAGGTATATTCATTGTTGAGGCATGTAATGTGGTTGAATCTATAGATTCCTGGTGCATAGATTCTAGAGCCACTAATCATGTTTGCAATTCATTGCAGGGATTCCAGGAGTCCAGAAGCCTCAATGAAGGAGAGATATACTTGCATATGGGATCTAATGCCAAGGTGGAAGCTAAAGCAGTGGGAGTGGTCCATATGCAGTTTGATAGTGGGAGGAGTTTTATTTTAGAAGATTGTCTTTATGCGCCAAATGTTAGGCACAATTTAATTTCAGTTTCTTCGTTGGTTTGCAAAAATTATATTTTTACTTTTGGAAAAAATGTTTTAATTAAATTAAATGGTTGTGTTATAACTTCTGGTGCATTGAAAGATAATCTATATGTTTTAACTCCTAGCTCATATCAAATGCAAAATTATGAATTAAATGCAACTTCATCTAGATTGAATGTTAAAAGAAAAGCAGTTTCTCCAAACTCATTGTATCATTGGCATCTACGATTGGGTCACATCAATCAAAATAGGATTCAAAGGTTGGTTAAAGAAGGTTTATTACCTTGTGAGGCAGAGGAGCCTATGCCAACTTGTGAATCCTGTATTGAAGGAAAGATGACTCGAAGGGCTTACTCAGCCAAAGGATATAGAGCCAAAGAACAATTAGAGTTGGTGCACACAGACGTGTGTGGTCCCATGAACACCCAAGCGAGAGGAGGGTTTGAGTACTTCATCACTTTCATTGATGATTATTCACGTTTTGGATATATTTAC